TTGTGAAAAAAACAGAAAGAAATGCAACAATTAATGCTAACAAACAAACAAACAACAAAAAATTCTGTTCCATTCTTTCCTAATTCTATTAGAAGAAAAAAAAAAAAAGTTTTAAAAAAGCATGAAAAAAAAAAATATTCTTTTCTTTGTTTTTTTTTTGTTTCCTTCCTCTTATTCCATACTAAACGTCAACGTTGACGTGTTTGTGCGTGTTTTCAATAGCACCACCTGAACCATTTGTTTAAAGATTAAAAAATTATTAATTTCATTCCACCACTTATTTATTTCGCTATTCACTTACGTGGTTATTTATCAATGTAAAAAAACTGAATTCACAACACCACCACCACCACCACAACATCATTTGCATTCTGTTTTTTTTTTTCCCTTCTAAATGCAAAATTTTTTCAGATTATCTTCTTCCGATTCCAATTTTTCCTCTATTTAATTTTACTACTACTCTTCTTGCTTTCTTTTTTTTTTTTTTTTAGACCTAACGATAATTTGATTAATCTTATCACTTAAGCTGCGTACAAATCCATTTCCTTAACATACATCAGCTTTCCCCCCTCGCCCCCCCGCCGTCCCCTAAAATCAATCTTTTACCTTTGTCCGTACCCTCGCTTTGCACAGTATCTAACGGTAATTATTCACAAATTCTTTGTTCATTGATTCCGCTTCTTCACAACCTTAGCACCACGTTGACAATCTCTCAAACATATCAATACTTCACAACCAATCCAACCAACCAGCCAACGAGCCCATTCAGTCAGTTAGTCAGTCAGTCAGTCAGTCAGTCAGTCAGTCAGTCAGTGCAGCCAACCAACGGAACAACATCATCACCATCAATGCTGTTGTCACCCAGTGAGGACCACCAATAGAATCAAATAAAACATTCCAACAATTTTGTTTAAATAATCAACAAAATTTCTACTGCAACATCACATTTTGTCGACGAATTTCGATGAATGCCGCTACATCAAAGATGCATATAGAAAAGCACAAAAACGATGAGGTGATTGGAGAAAAATCGGGAAACAAAAAAGAATTGCGTTCAGTGGCAAATTTATTGTCAGTGAAAAATGATTTCTCGTTTTCAGCTCAAACGGTATTTATTATGTTAAATAAAAAAATCTTTGTTTAATTTTCAAATAATATTATATATATATATATATATATATATATATATAT